CATGGTACTTTTTGCTTTAGCGACTCTCCGGCATGAACTCTTTAAAATTCAGTTCATTTTGTGGTATTTTATTCCCCTGAAATTTAGCTTTAGTGTGAAAGTCTCGATGATTTGAGCTTTCCGGAAGGTGGATGAACCAGCGATATATAACTGAGTTTTCTACCTAAAAAACCGGAATCCACATAAACACTGTACCGCTACGAACACCCTTAAATCTCTCGAATTACTTTTGCAATGGGCAGAAGTTCCTAGCTCGTTATATTACTTTCACACAAAGCGCTCTTGTAGCCGAAATTATCATTCAGCTCTTAAAACCTTTCACAGTTGACTGTCATAATCAAAGATAATAAATGAATAAGGAATTTCTACATTGTTTTCAACCTGTTTTAGTTTATGAATAAATTTGAAATGTCTTGCCTCTTCGTACACTTGCTTCAATCGATTTCCTTGTTCAACAAAATGTTTAACGTTGGATAAATAGCGAGGCTCCCTCGAAAATAAGGTCGAAGGTTTCTTGTTCCACAGCAAGACGAATATTCTCTCAGTTACAGGAAACTATATTCAAACAAAAGGCCCATGCACTCAGGGAGTCATTGTTTACAATGACATATTTCGCTTTCCGATTGAGCTGTAAAAGTTAGCCATTGTTTACATGCATGGTTGAGACCCAAATAAACTTTGTCCAAGCCGGTTATATTTGTCTCCTTTCCATAAATCTTTCGGCCTGTGACCTGTCATTTAATTTTATTAAGGACGTGGCAACAGTGCTTGGCCAGAGAAACACGAGACGGGATTTAAAAGATAAATATGCAAAATTTGCAAAAGACTATAATCATTTTGAACTTTAATTGGTCTAAGTTTCAATCTGTCCAATTATTATTCAAGACATGTCGGTCTTTACAAATATGTTGTTAGATTACGAAGTTGTGCGATTGTGTACACAGAGCTTATTAAATATACAGGTGATTTGTTAATAAAACACTTGCAGAAGAAGGTGAAGGCGCTTGAAGGAACTAGTTTGACGTCACAATGGCAATTGTTTAGACCGGAAGCCGGATCGTACTGAAATCCCGACGATAATTTCATTTACAATACCACAGAATACTCTGGCATCCTTTGTTAATTGCTGGCTTTAAATACAATATTTTTTAGTCATATATGCAAAGCCCATGCTCACGTAGTAATGAGGTTAATTAGGTTAAATTATCCCTTTCCCGGTCCCAGATTACTTCAAATCCAGATAGCATTCCTCCCTTTTTACAGCCAGGGTTTGAATTTGCCCAGTCCCCGTCCCGGGGTCCCCGTATGGCGTCTTCCTAGTCCTTCTCGGTCAATGCATTTAGGTGACGTATCTGAGACCTCGCCCGGACCACGTGATCCGAACCGCATCGGCTGCGCGCAGTAATGACGCCTAAGGAGTAGGCAGGGTTTGAATTAGGACATCGAGTAGTCTCAGCCGCCAGTTAAATTTCAGAGCCAGTATTGAAACCCGCCAAGAGCCACAAGTCCAATTAAGGTTCTTGAACCCGCCCTAGGCCTCCCTAGTTTCACAATTTACTCCATTTTCCATCTCCGCTCTCATCCTTAACGTTTTAGGGACCACCCTCCTCTCGGGAGGTTCTGCGAGCCCCTCCCCGGCCCCAGAAACCTTCAACGCGAGGCGTTATTGGGAGCGCCAGAGCGGGGGTGTTAAATAGGAGCCCGAGCGCGAAACGAAGCACATGAAAGTTTACCCCCGATTTGTGATCAAGAATAGTTTGATAGAATAATCCCAAAAAGTCTCAAAATGAGCTCGATATTTAAAACAAATCGCCTAAAATACTGAAATCCCTTTTGCCGACCATGGGTAGCATAGAGGCGGGGAGATCGTTTCCTTCTCTTCGGAGAATCCATACTTTGCTTCACAACACAATAAACACCGAACGACTCAGCCATCTCTATGCAAGATGATAAAGTTTCCATCAATAAAAGGCTGGTTTGCGAGAAATTTGTTACGCAGCACCGCAGACTAACGATGGCCACTAACAAGTTTCTTGCCGGGGTTTCTTGTAACAGTTTAATCTGTACTGTATATTTCTGTGTTGTGCTTGATATCGTATACAGTACTGCAATTGAGAGTACGCGATTTTAGCGCTTTAGTATGTGGCGTTGCGAGAGTAGCAGTGTTGTTTGTTGAAGTTCACCTGTTAATGGTCATCATTCCCATGTTAGCCGGCGCGGAGGACCCGAGATACTTCATTTTGGGCAGAAAGCAACCGCCCCCACCCACCAACTTTCCCCACACAAACTTCGAGTTCTGGATCCATACATTTTAGATACAAAGTTTATATCTTACCCGAAAAAGAAGTATCCGTACGGTAAAGGGGGGGGCATAGGCCTCCCGCAGGTTAGATTTACTAAGGAACGAGGCCAGGCTCACATGTTACTGGTCTAACGGAACTTTAATAACATCATTTTAAAAACCAACGTTACGTACAATAATAAACAGGAAACCTGAAAATGTATCAGCCACTATATGTACAAAAAATTCTAAAATGACGCTTGGTGTAGATCAGTGAAAGCATGATCACATTAAGCTAATAACACGCCTATAGTAAAATTTCTTAATGTATATATCGTATGTAGCCGTGTATGCGTAACCTACGTGCAGTGGTTTAACCACCGCTCGCAGGGTACTTTATACATGGCTTTCTAAATTGATCATATATGTCTGCCAATTTGTGACAGTGTCGCCATTATGGAATACTTTACAGAGTTCATAGTAAAGCGTCACTTACATATGAACTGTTTTAGTTTGTTTAAATACACATTGTTAATGTGACGTTGCTATGTTTACGCAATACTATATAAAGCCACCGTGTCCTAACCAACACTTTTCGCGTAGTGTTAGTTTTATTTCGCAGAATGTTAGTCAATCCCAAATTGTACTATGTAAAGCTATAATACATCACATGTAGCTATACTGTAAAACAGTATGTACAACTATCTCAAATGAACAAATACAGTGTCTATCAATTTAACCCAGTCTCCACAATCGCATTGCTGGAGATTTTTAGTTACGCGTTTTCCATATGAACCTTTTAACTTTTGAAATCACAACCCGTTCAAGTACACTATAAAGACATACTAGCGTCCAAAAACAACTTCGCTTCACCTAAAACTGAAGGTATTATGAAAGTAATACAACAGAAAATCGAAGGGCTGCGAGATTGCTTTGAAGTTACCTGATCACTGTAAAGCCGTTGCAGAAAAAGAAAAAAACAACTTCTTTTTAAGGCTCCAAAAACGCCACTGTATCCAGACTAAAATCAGCGCTATTCAGGGAAAAACCAACACATGTTTAAATAGATTAGACAAGCGTACTTAACAGAATATTGTCATTAGTTGTAAGATACTTTTAGCTTCTTGGGTTATTTTATTACTAAAGAGGTTTGGGTAGTATAGCGGGATGCAAAATCCTCGAGAGATGCCACATGACTGATGAAGGAGTTAAACACTTCACTGCAGCACTCACATACACTAAGCTGAAACCTCCATAGTACTAATAAAGACACTAATGAAGGAGTTAAACATTTAAGTATTCTATCCCGCTAAACTATCCAAACATTAAAATGTTTTTAGTTCGCAAAAACCCTGATTGTGTTGGTTGCCAGGGGCCCGTTTCTCGAAAGTCCCGGTAACTTAACGGGCCCGGAATCATATTTTTGAATCAAAGTCTCAAGAAAAGTAGGGTGTGTTCTGTCCTCTAATGAAGTCCATTTTGTTTCGTTAGCTAATAACTCTACTGTATAATTTTCAAAACTTCTAAAACTCCCTTCTAAAATGGAAAACAAAACAGCTTAACGGGCCCGGTAATTACCGGGAGCTTCGAGAAACGGGCCCCAGGTAACAACTTCGCAATCTCAATATATCCTAGCGACTGAAGGTCGTTGTTGAAGCTTAAATCAAAATCCAAAATTCCTTCAACAGGGAAACATTTACATTGCAGAAATGGCTTAGATTTCTACTTTACAGTTTATGTTCATTGAGTTTAGGAGATTTTTACCTTTATCAGTCATGTTGGTACCCCAGAGGACTAAGCTGTTTAGTTTGCAGTTAGTGTGTGTGAGTGCTGTAGATAAATGTTTAACCCCTTCATCAGTTATGTTGTTATCCTCGAGGTCTAAGCTGTTCAGTTTGCAGTTAGTGTGTGTGAGTGCTGTGGATAAATGTTTTACTCCTTCATCAGTTATCTTGTTACCCCAGAGGTATAAGCTGTTTAGTTTGCAGTTAGTGTGTGTGAGTGCTGTAGATAAATGTTTAAGCCCTTCATCAGTTACGTTGTTACTATTGAGGTCTAAGCTGTTTAGTTTGCAGTTAGTGTGTGTGAGTGCTGTAAATAAATGTTTAACTGCTTCATCAGTTACGCTGTTACCCCCGAGGTCTAAGCTGTATAGTTTGCAGTTTGTGTGTGTGAGTGCTGTAGATAAATGTTTAACTGCTTCATCAGTTATGTTGTTACCCCCGAGGTCTAAGTTGTTTAGTTTGCAGTTAGTGTGTGTGAGTGCTGTAGATAAATGTTTAACCCCTTCATCAATTATGTTGTTATCCTCGAGGTATAAGCTGTTTAGTTTGCAGTTAGTGTGTGTGAGTGCTGTAGATAAATGTTTAACTGCTTCATCAGTTATGATGTTACGCCCGAGGTCTAAGCTGTTTAGTTTGCAGTTAGTGTGTGTGAGTGCTGTAGATAAATGTTTAACCGCTTCATCAGTTATGTTGTTACCCCCGAGGTTTAAGCTGTTTAGTTTGTAGTTAGTGTGTGTGAGTGCTGTAGCTAAATGTTTAACTGCTTCATCAGTTATGTTGTTACCCCCGAGGTTTAAGCTGTTTAGTTTGCAAAAACCCTGATTGTGTTGGTTGCCAGGTAACAACTTCGCAATCTCAATACATCCTAGCGACTGAAGGTTGTTGTCGAGTAAATTAAAATCCAAAATTCCTTCAACAGATTTAAGTGCATGCACTTATGCTAAACAGTCGAGAGGTGACAGGTTACACCTACTAAAATGAAGCGCATTACAACCAATTTTCGCCAGTTTCTTTTGAACTTCTCGATCAGAGGCATTGTTCTCATACATGCAATTGAATAGCGTCACCACTAAAGCCTTGTCTTCATAAGCTGGCCAACAGATCAGTGTTTCACTTCGTTCCTCTGAATCTTTATCCATCTCGATTTCAATTCGTTGGGTAAACGTTTTTGAGGGAAGAAGATCGCTGAAAATATCTGTTGACTGTCCTTCTTTTTCAGGCAGCAGTCCAGCCACAAACTGCATCACAACCTTCCATGCGCCTTCCTGGATGTGAGCGGCAACAAAATCCCGCAGTTGTTCGGAACTCAACGTGTCTACCAAATACTTGGCCGCCAAGAACTCCTGCATGGTCAGGTGTAAAAAGCAATATTGCGCTCTTCCCTCTGCTAAAGGACGGTCTCTAAAATCAGGTAAACGGTGAAACAGGCCATTACTCTCTAGATCGTTAACTTCGTGTGATTCAAAAATTAGTCTTCCTTTCTTAATACCATCAAAAGCAATTTTTCCCAGTCGTGTGAACACATTTTGCACAGAGGAAGGCAGTTCCTTAAACGGCTTAAGAAAATACTGTTGACCTTCAGTTTTATTGTGGCGATATTGATCATCATCGTAGCTAAAGTAAAACATCCTTACTGCAATTGAGTATATTTCTGTCAGTCTCGTCGGGAGGCTGGTAAAGCCAGTGTTACCAAACAACTCTAACAAGCAACTACAAATGATAAAGCAATTAACAGGAACGTAGCAGAAGGCTACAAGGTTTAAGTTACTGGTGATGTGTTGCTTTATGGTTTCCGCTTTGTCCTCCTCCTTTGTAAACTTCTCTACATAATCATTCACTTGCTCAGTTGAGAATCCCAGAATTTCAACTATTTTGTCGAAGTCAAGACTTGTGATAAATCTCACGGCATTGGGTCTTGTAGTCGTTAGGATTGTCGCACCGGTAAGAATTTTTCCCTGTACTATTTTCTTCATAAGGAAATAAACAGGCATCCTTTCCTCTTCACTGTTTCTGTACGGAATGTCATCTTCATTTATTTTAGTCCTACCAGTATATTCGTCAAATCCATCAAAAATCAACAGTACTCGCTCTGGGTTATGGCGGATGTAGTTCCAGAGCTCTTCGGAAAGAGCGGTTGAATACTCTGAGTGATCCAGAATCTCGCGAAGATTTAGTTCTTGGTTTCTAGAGTTAAACATTCTCAGCTTAACGAGAAAGGCAACTTTAAAATCGACTTGCGATTTTTGTGTTTCGTTGAAAAGGTTATCGGACGCCCAGTTGCGAAGAATCTTTGTGCTAAACATGGTTTTTCCAATTCCAGGACGACCGACAACAAGAATCTTCTGCTCTTTAGCATTAAAAATATCTCCTGGCAGTGTTGGTCGTAAACTTTCATTGGCTTTGTGGTACTCGTTTAGCTGTTTCACTCTGTCTCCTGAAAAGTCATACTTCGCTCTCCCTTCATAAACAATCAAATTGGTGAAGATTTCGTCAAGTTTTAGATCTCTTCTAGGTCCTTCGCCTGGATTATGAAAAGGTGATTTGAGGTCTCTGTAAGGTTTGTCAGTGACATCTCGGACATGTTTCTTCATACGTTCGATGAAAGGAGCGACTGAGGTTTCGGTGATTAACTCTTGTGGTTGCGGTCCTGAAGAAAAAACACTCATTAGTTTGATAACAAAATTGATATTTTATTAATTCACCGACGACGAATAAAACGATAATAATAATAATATTTTCACCACTGTCTGAAATATGCATGTCAAATGTGAAAATATCATTACCGTAAATCCTCCTTATTTGAGATTTGGGGGAATTAATTAATTTAGAAAAGACGATGGTATCAGCTCTCCATAGAGAACTACAAAACTAAGTGGAAAAACTCAAGTACAAGAAGGTTTAAGGTCATGCACGGAGGATCAGAATCAAATCCAAACTTCCAGTTGGTATGAAACCATCCTGGATCATTCCACACGAAGTTTCACAGTCGTGATTGATTAATACAGTCTATCAATTATTAGTAAAGAATAATTAGGGGAGGGAAGGGGGGATTATAAGAGGGAGGGGGTTATTTGAGAAGAGGGGGGCTTAATACAGGATTTACGGGTATAATGTGGACTATCATGATAGCTTCTAAATATTGCAAATTATCTCAAATCGTACTGGTCCCTAAATAATAAGATGCACACTTCTAATGCTTCTTGTTATTTTACAGAAATGCATCACATTCACTATAGTACTTGAATCTCAACTTAAACAATTTGAACAAGTGGTGAGTGTTTGACAGCTGAATTTGGGATGGCATGCATCCCAGAGCATGTACCATGTAGGTTATCTGTGACCGTACTATGGAACCAACGCAACAGTGGATACAATAAATCAGATGCCAAGATGTGGCAGCACTTTATGATAGCATGATTACCTTGATAATGAGGCCATGAACGGAAAACACAGGGTTCATTCAACATGTGTGCAACAAGAGATGCTGCCATCACACTGGCACAGGAAGACCAACTCTCTGAAGTTAACTGAGAACCATCTGCATAGTCAGCTATTCCTTTCACAATTAACCACTCAATTTGACAATCAAATGCTGCTGTAAATACTCCTGTTAAACAACAGAACAAACAGTACATGAGGTTTGGGAAAAGTCCTGTTTCATTTAAGTGTCTTCATCAGCAAAATAAGAAACTTGACCAGACAGTGGGAGATGCTGGCAGCCATTTTTGTATAAGTTTCATTGTACTGTAATTTAAATTTATCAACAAAGATGAGTGTGGGTGGAAGTGCTTGCAAGGCTTGTAGAGCCAGGAAACTGCAGTCGAGTGCAGCTGCTCATAACCATGACAACCCTTCGAGTGGCAATAATTCAGGCAGCATCTCACAGCTAACCAGTGGAGCTTGTATTAAGTGGAACCCCGCCTTATGGCCACCCTAGTAATACCGTCACCTTGTTATTTTTGGCCTGGCAAAATGGCCATACATTTTATAATGAAAAAACCTTGTTAACACAGTCACCCATTGATGTGGCCAATGGCCATATTTTAAAATACCAAACAGTAGTATCTTTTACAATAAAATATTTCACCCCACTAAAACTTCACTTGTCAGAAATTTTGAAAACTGAAATGCCTGTGGCATGTCCATTTCATTGACCTAGTAATTAACCTGAGCTTGTTTTTCTACTGTTTTTAAACTATGGGTCACTTACAATGTACTTTGTGGTGGTCTAATAGCCTATTCTTGAAAACTGTTTTATGTCCTGACAGAGTTTCAAGTAGTTTTTAAAACTACGGTACATGATATCTACATTCCTGTTATTTATTTAAGAGAACAGAGTTGTACAGTCCTCAAGTCATGAAGTTTGACCCTGCCCTTGTAATACAGCCACCCTGTTGACGTTGCCAAATTGTTTTGACCCATTAGTGACAGTATTAACAGAGTTCCACTGTACTTACCAAAGGGAAGGCAGGGTAAGGAGCAAAACAATTGACGAGTACAAGCAACGTTAATAAGCTACGTGAATGTAATGGTATGACCTCAACAGAGAAGCTGTGAATTCCCCAGGGTCCCTGGAGAGCCCTCTCATTTGAAAGACCAACTTAACTGGCCAACAATGTCTAGAGTTAAACTTAGCCTAAACTTGATTTAGCCGCATAATGTTTTAGGCAATATGACAATTATTTCTCTAGCAAAAACCAGAGGATTTCCCAATGAAACTGACAGACATGATTTTAAGTGCCAAACTCCCGACCTTATGATGCTTTAAAGGAAACAAAATTTTTGCTTTCCTAGTACAAGTATGATGCATGCTACTGTGTCTCTTTCCACCTCAAGGAAAGCTTGACCTGGCTGTGTGCACCTTCTTATAAAGACTGGCTTCAAAAAATTAGGCAACTCACCTTCTCCTTCATTTTCCATTGCTATTGCCTGAGGATTGGTTTCAGCAAGTTGATCACGTCGCCGTTCCGAAATGACTTGTTCTGGTCCACTCAGAAACTCAGCAGCAGTATGAACTTGAACTTGTTGAGCATCAGCCAGGTTCTTCAAAGGTGCTTGCCAGCCATCAGCACAATTCTTAATGACACCCAGGAAGTGTTTGCTTACATAACTCCTCATGCCAGTTGACTGTTCTTGATTATTGATCACCACTTTGGATGCATATGTTGCTAATTTGGCAGAAACAACAACATCTCCTAACTTGGATTTCTCAGGGTCAAGACCACTACATGCGCCAACAGATATAACTGCTTTAGGTCTTAGCACAGTGGCAGCATTCTTTAAAGAGACGAGAGAACCACCAGGACCACTTTTGTAACATCTTAACAATGCAACTTTAACTTCCTCTTGACTTTCACTCACATCAGAAAAGTACACATAACCAAGATCATCAAAATAACATCTATAAGGATTTTTTAGCTCACTGTAACAAGCTAAAAACTCACAATCCTTCACTGTCAGTAACAAAACATCAACAGGGAGATCAGCATGTTTTGAAGGTCTGGTTACTGCCTTAATCTCAGCCAAAGATGGGAGAACGTTTTTAAGCTCAGGAGGGTCCCTAATGCACTCTTTTAGAGTCCTTTCCTTTCTTTCTCTCTTTCTTTTCTTTTTTCTCTTTTTTTTAGATGTGGTTCTTTGGTTCTTTGTTTTGCTTGTAGGATTCTTTGAACTAGCTGTGAAACCAGTGGTAATCTGGTGAGTGTTACCATCACTGCCCTCTGATCTGCCAGTTGTATCCTCAGAAGATTTGAATATCTTGGATTCTGATCAGTGGAGGAATAAAATAATTACTAAAAATGAGATGATAATAATAATAATATTATACCAAGAATGAGTTGTGCTAGTGGTTTTGCTAAAAAGAGCCCATGTTGAAAGGCAGTTACAAGTAAACCACCCCCCAGCCTTGCATGTATTAACCAAACAAAAGTTGTCTCTCTCCCCCTCCCAGGGTCTTCCCAGTTCTTACACCCCCCCCCATCCCCACCAGAACCCCAAAAAAGAAGGTACCCTTAGAGTTGGTCTTCTTTTTCAGCCTTATTACTCATTGTACAGAGATCACATTTCCACTCTTAACTATTAGTGAACCTATTTTCTAACAACAAAAATTACCTTCTTCATCTGAGTCTTCAGTCACATGTCTCTTTCTCTTTGTTGCTTGCATGACAGTAAGTTGAAATGGCTTCACGCAAACTGGAAGCAAAGCAACTATGATTAGTAGCACATTTGTCACAACCACAAGAAAAATAGTTAGCCAATGGCTACTGCAAGATAGTGTGCTGACGGGGTAATTTGAAATTTTATATGTTTAACAGGTCAAAATTCAGTTCACGTTAAAATTTTTAAAGCTAGGTTGAGTCTTAATTTCCTATGTCTCCTAACCCTAATTCATGAATATTATTAGGTCTAGGAGACGAAGGGAATAGAGAATTAACCTAAGGTTAAAGATTTTTAACCTGAATTGAATTTTGACATGTAACATATACACCTATAGTTTGAATAACAAGTTTTTGGGATAGTACGACAGTGAGAATACATGTAACAATAATGTCATACATAAATTTATGCTAAATTGAATATGGTCTGTTCTCAAATGGCACCCTGACATGGTGCTCACCCCAAGCAGATAAAAACATGAACAGTTTGGGACAAATAGATATTGGTTGTTAGCCCTTGCTAGACAAGCTTTTCTTGGGGTATAATGAAGTATTGATCAAACTTGTAGAGTATTTCCATAAAAACATTCAATTTCTTCTGTATTTCTGAGGGATTACTGACAACATTGAAGTTTCTTATTTAGTCAAGAGGGACATGAAATATGATACATGTGATAATATGTGTGATTTTCCTGTGAAGGAACTGAGTGTTTTGATTGGACATTATGTGACACATAGATGTTTTATGGAGAACTCAGATTTGCAAATTTAATGATGGGTGGAATGGCAAGAACAATAGGGCCTTGTAAGCATTTCCTCCCTTGCTCCGCCCCTCCCCAAACATCTCTCATGCATTCGACGTGCTCCGTTGCTCATTATACCCTTCAATGTTTTTTTTTCAACTTTTGATATCAACAAGTTAGGGAAAATCCATCAACATCACTGGAAAGAGTGCCTTGAAATTAGAATTAAATTGCCATGTTTGAAAGTGATTTGTGGAATACTAACGAAGATATAGCTTCTCAAAGTCGTAAAATTTTACAGACGTTTATATGGTGGGGGGCACAAACTTGCCCCCAGCATACAGTGAAACCCGGTTAATACGGACACCCAAGGGGACATGCCATAGTACCTGTTTTATTCGGGTGTCCGTATTAAGGGGTACGTCTCTCTGAAAAAAAAGTCACAGGTCTACACATCTTTTATCAACCTAAAGACTACACCGACATTTTTTCAAGGAAACACTGTTTAATTTTTTATCTCTAACTTTAACATGTTCACGATCATTAATTTATTATAGTCTCAAGTTAAATCTACCTATTTTCTTGAAATACGACAATGGAATCCATGACTTTACTTTGCACTGAACTTTCCTACATACCACAAACTGCTTGGTTTTGTAAAACTGTAATACGACAACGTAAATTAAAAATTTCTGCAAAACCACATTCAGTGTAAACCCTAACGCCGTTGTTCTATATTTTCTATATTGATCTTTGGTTGTAACCATTACTTTTGGCAGCATGAAACTCTGGAGTAGCAAAAACAAATGTCTTCAAACAAATCATCCAGCTTTTTTTTACTTAAATGTATCAGTGTTTTATTTATAGACATATATATACAAGTAAAATAATTATATAAGCACACATGATTCTTTCCCTCATTATTCACAAGTTTTTTATATGTATCTTTGCAAATTTCTCTTACCAATATTATTTCAACCATTTTTTGTTCACAGGTATTTTCGTATGGTTTTTCAGAGGTGTTTCTTTAGCAATTTTCTCAAAATTTTGTCATAGGTTTTTTCACAGGATTTTTCAGAAGTGTTTTTGAGGATATTTTCTTAAACTTTGATCACAGGTTTTTTCACAGGGTTTTTCACAGGCTTATTTTAGTCACAGGTTTTTTCACAGGGTCCTAAATTTTGAAATTTTCTCAAAATTTAGGCTGTGTAACATTCACAGGTTTTTTCACACATTTTTCACAGCATTTTCACAGGTTTTCATCCACTAGTGAAAGTTTTCAGTTTAAATACTTCATAGACTTTCATTCAATTTAATACAACAACAACAAGTTTATTCAGTATTACCATTTTGTACAGGTGTTAAAGATTAAAATAACAATAATAAACAGCTAAGTTTGATTTATCTACTGATTTACTTCATAGCATGTTTTCATAGCATGTTTTCAGTTTAAATACTTCATAGACTTTTCTAGCATGTGTCAACTTCATAGGCACTTCATAAGTGTCTCAAGGAACTTCATAGCACTTTACCTCACATGGAGCATTTCACGGCTTGTTCATAGGGCTATGAAGTTTTTAATTTCAAAACTTCAGAACCTGCTTAATAGCTTTGTGCAACTTCATATTCCCTTCATAACTATTTCATAGACAATCCTGTTAGTAGTGTAATGTACACCCGGGGGGGGGCACTTGGGTATTTTTTGGGTCGGTATGTGCCGCCCGGGACTCCAAATTGGCACCCCGTTCTAAAAGAAATTTCCCCTAAAATTGATACCCCGTTCTAGAAATGGGCCGATTTTTTATACCCCATTCTAGGATTCACCCTAAAACTGATACCCCGTTCTAGAAATGGGCCAATTTTTTATACCCTGTTCTAGAAAGTTTGAAAATTGAAATAGCCCTGTTTTTTTAAAAAGATATTTGTTTATTTGTTCGACTTATACATCAAATAAATGCTTCTTCATAATCAGCAACAATTTTAAGCAGAAGATAAAGCCGAGATTCACAATTTTTTATACCCCGTTCTAGAAAACACCTCTGAAATGGATACCCCGTTTTAAATCAGGAGCTTCAAAATCACGACCCCGTTGGGCGGCACATACCCGTATAGGTAATGTATGGGAGTACCCCCCCCTGGGAGTGTACATAGTGTACAGATAACCAGTGTCCATAAAGCGAGGTTGACCATATATTGATACTTGAGAATATGTGACTCAGGATATAGAACAATGACCTTTGTCTGTATTAACTGGTGTCCGTATTAAGTGGGCTTATTTTACAGAAAATATATGACCATTTCATTGGGACAAACGTAACTGTCCGTTATTATACAGGTGTCCATAGAGTAGCCGTGCAAGAGTTGACAAACATCGCTATAAGCTTAAAGGGAGAGGGAGAATAGACATTTACACGGTTTTTGACATGGATCAGTTAGGGAAAATCTGTCGACACCACTGAAAAGAACGACTTGAATTAGTACAATTTGCCAAATTTATAAGTAATACGTCTTAAGGAAGCGAAGATATAGCTTTTCAGACGTTTGTACAGTGGAGCTAGCCCCAACCAGTACCAAAGTGCAATAAAGGTGTTACTGATAATCGAATCAAGGAGTCACATGATTACCCTCTTTTGATCATTAAACGATCGTTGTTTTACAAACTACCACTTGTTGGAACGCTTTATGAACGAGGCATAACATAATAATAAAATAGGCACTTTTGTTTTTCAAAGAAGTGATGCAAATAAGTGCGGAAGTATTCTAAAGTTTAGCCTTAGCACTAAGGGGACCTGATATAACACTTCAACTTGCATACAATAAAAGACACAGTATACTAAGATTTAACTTAAAACAAAAAAAAGGAATTAACTTCGGCTCTTACCTTGACAAGCATTGCAATGCAATGCGGAAAATCTACTTAACAGAGAAAGAACAACAGCAAGAGGCTGAAGAGGCCACGAGATGGAGCTTGATGAAGTTGTATGATGGGACGCTCGCAGAATAAATCAACTCAGCCGATATTTTCAGGTTTTTCCCACCATAAAAAAGTCGAAAGTTAACCACTGAAAGGGACCCAGACGACAACGAAAACACTGTAACTTCCACATGCACACCGACGCCGATTAAACGTTCGTGTCTGGTAGTGCTTCGCCTGTCGTTGGGTCGGGTCGAATCTTCGCATTTATTGGTTCAAAAGTGTCCCATGACTTACACGTCAAGTGAGCCGAAAAATTTGGAATTGGATCCGGAATTCTAGGTTAGTTGAATAGGCTTTACTTTTCGTTTCATGTCATCTCTATGAAAGTCATAAATAAAAGAAATAATTAACTGAAGTATAGGAAATGAATCCATTTGTGTATTGTGCCTATAAATTGGTACTGGTCTGTGATGTCACTTTGGGTCTGACAGATTCTCAAAAGCACTTTACCTGTTTTGATTCCCCAAACCAAGCCTGTTCTTGCAAGGCTTTAGATACCCAGGGAGGGGTGGGGGGAGTTACTCATCAAAGTCTTTGTAGAAGAACTAAGCCCAAACAGCCAAACCCTTAACATCCTTTGATGACTATACAAAAAACATACCTGGTCATATAGCTGCTATACAATTAACTGATACCCTTTTCATATGCCTACTGTTCTTAAGGAAAAGCCCTGGGACACGAGGTTGGCCTTCAGTGAAAACACTACATACCATCCCTTTTACTTACAGATCAGTAAAGGTAGATTTCGCAAGACGTGAACTGATGACAGTAATGTAATTTTCATACCGAGTTCTCCAATGATGAACAACGATTACAAAAACATCATTTGTGGTTGCCACGATTGGTTAACTTTCCCGGCTCCTAATACATGCTGTTGTAACAAAGAAAGAACAGTCTTCCTCACCCCCCTCCTCCCTCTTTTTTACGGATTATCCCGAGTACTGTGATGTTAGCATAGGTAATCACATGATTTTTCTCGTACAATTTGGGATAAATCAGCACTCGTAAATTTTTCAAGGACTAACCAAATTGCATAAGCCCGGGCACGGGCAACGTTTTGGGGCAGCTGTAGGACAATTTTAACGTTACGTCTCGTTTGGACAAGAAAAAACAATTTCAACTTAAAGTTTCGTTCGGGAGTGGACTGGTATCACCTCTCCCCCCCCCGACCTTTAACAAAACCACGCTGGATGCGCCCTTGCTTCGGTTTTCCCTTCTCCTTAATAACCAACATGTTCAAATTCCAATTCGATGTAGAAAGTGTTTCCAGTTAGTTGGGGACATGTAAGAGGGACACAGGTTCACTAATTCTTGGAGAACTATTTTGTGTCAACCTCTTTAACCCCCTAAGTCCCCAAAGTGACAAACCTCAATTTTCTCCCTTAACAATATAAATACACAATCAAGAAAAAAGGTTGTGAGAATTAATAAAATAATCACCTGAGGGAAATGCTTTGATCTTTCAACAAATTCTCTCAACTTAGTCTTTACAGAAATGTGTAGACACAGGTTTGGAGAATTTGTATGTGGATATTGGGGGTTAAAGGGTTAAATACAGTTTGTTTTTGGTTTATTTTCCATACTCATCATTTTCGGTTTATTTGTTATTCAAGGTAGCTAAATTAAAATATGGTGGAAGAGAAAATTAAAAACATCGTAAAAAAAAAAATTAAAAAAGAGGAAGAACAAAAGAAAGGGGCTGACAGGGACACTACAACAGCTGATGCCAATTACAGCGGGCGGGTTTAATCACCCTGCGTATGCATGATAGATGGATCTTGGATTTCGATTGGGGTCCACTTTACTAACTTAATTGTTACTTCCTATGTTAGCTGGCGCCAAATACAAAAGTGGTGATGGTCAGGATCAGCTTTCTGACTGATTCTGACTGCCAGTAAGGTAGTTGCTTTCAAACAACTCAGGGTAGGAGATCTTGTAACTAAGTAAGAAAAAAAGGGTTTTTCACCTCAACATTTGTTACAAACAATTGGGGATCAAAGGAAGGAGTAAGGAGAGGATGGTTTGTGTGGTCCTCTCTTATTATTGTTACCGCGGCAGGATTATCTCAGTCGGTAGAGCGCTTGACTGCAGAGCGGGAGGTCGTGCGTTCGATTCCCGGGACCGGACCAATACTTAGGGTCTTAAAATGACTGAGAAATGAAGGTACGGCCTTTACCCTGCAAGCGGCGGGCTAGAACTTCGCGTGGCTCGGATGACCACGTAAAATGGCGGTCCCGTCTCCAGTAGGAGACGTAAAAATAGTGTCCCCAATTAGTAATTTGTGCTAAAATACATTGACACTCAAATAACGTGCATTTTTTTAACCAAGGCCCCGAGATACTTCATTTTGGGCAGGAAGCAACAGGTCCCTGGACCCATCCATTTTAGACACACAGTTTATATCTTAGCCGAAAGAGAAGTATCCGTACGATAAAAAGGGGGAGGATGGGCCTGCATTCCCTTTCACCCCCTGTCGGTTTAGATCCACCTTTGCCTCTTCTGTCCTTTAAGCATTTTGCTGAAGGATGGACAGTTTGATTTACTAAGGAACGAGGTCAGGCCGACATGTTACTGGTCTAACTGAACTTTAATGACATCATTTCAAAAACCAAGGCTACGTACAATAATAAACAGGAAACCTGAAAATGTATCAGCCACTATATGTACAAACAATTCTAAAATGACGCTTACTGTAAATCAGTGAAAGCATGATCACATTAAGCTAATAACACGCCTATAGGAAAATTTCTTAATGTATATATCATATGTAGCAGTCTATGCGTACTTTACGCGCAGTGGTTTAACCACCGCTCGCAGGGTACTGTGTAAATGGCTATCTAAAGTGATCATATATGTCTATGATCAATTTGTCACAGTGTCGCCATTATGGAATACGTAACAGCGTTAATAGTATAGCGTCATTTATATATGAACTGTTTCAGTTTGTTTAAATACACATTGTTAATATGACGTTGCTATGTTTACGCAATACTATATAAAGCCACCGTGTCCTAAAAAACAATTTTCGCGAGGTGTTAGTTTTATTTCGCAGAATGTTAGTCAATCCCAAATTGTACTAAGTAAAGCTATAATACATCACATGTAGCTATACTGTACGTACAACTATCTCAAATGAATAAATACAGTGTCTAACAATTTAACCCAGTCTCTACAATAGCATTGCTGGAGATTTTTAGTTAAGCGTTTTCCATATGAACCTTTTAATTTTTGAAATCACAACCCGTTCAAGTACCCTATAAAGACATAGTAGTCTCCAAAAACAATTTCGCTTCACCTAAAACTGAAAGTATTATGAAAGTAATACAACAGAAAATCGAAGGGCTGCGAGATTGCTTTGAAGTTACCTGATCACTGAGAAGCTTTGCAGAAAAAGAAAAAAACAACAACTTCTTCTAAAGGCTCCAAAAACGCCACTGAATCCAGACTAAAATCAGCGCTATTCAGGGAAAAAACCAACACATGTTTAAATAGATTAGATAAGCGTACTTAACAGAATATTGTCATTGGTTTTAAGATACTTTTAGCTTCCTGGGTTATTTTATTACTAAAGAGGTTTGGGTAGTATAGCGGGATCCAAAATCCTCGAGAGATGCCAGATGACTGATGAAGGAGTTAAACACTTCACTGCAGCACTCACATACACTAAGCTAAAACCTCCATAGTACTAATGAAGACACTAATGAAGGATTTAAACATTTAAGTACTGTATCCCGCTAAACTACTCAAACATTAAAATGTTTTTAGTTGGCAAAAACCCTGATTGTGTTCGTTGCCAGGTAACAACTTCGCAATCTCAATACATCCTAGCGACTGAAGGTTGTTGAAGCTTAAATCAAAATTCAAAATTCCGTCTACAGAGAAACATTTACATTGCATACAAGGATTAGATAATTACTTCACAGTTTATGTTCATTGAGTTTAGGAGATTTTTACCTTTATCAGTTATGTTGGTACCCCAGAGGTATAAGCTGTTTAGTTTGCAGTTAGTGTGTGTGAGTGCCGTAGATAAATGTTTAACTGCTTTATCAGTTATGTTGTTATACCCGAGGTATAAGCTGTTTAGTTTGCAGTTAGTGTGTGTGAGTGCTGTAGATAAATGTTTAACTGCTTTATCAGTTATGTTGTTATACCCGAGGTATAAGCTGTTTAGTTTGCAGTTAGTGTGTGTGAGTGCTGTAGATAAATGTTTAACTGCTTTATCAGTTATGTTGTTATTTTCGAGGTCTAAGCTGTTTAGTGTGCAGTTAGTGTGTGTGAGTGCTGTAGCTAAATGTTTAACTCCTTCACCAGTTATGTTGTTACCCCCGAGGTGTAATCTTTTTAGTTCGCAAAAACCCTGATTGTGTTGGTTGCCAGGTAACAACTTCGCAATCTCAATACATCCTAGCGACTGAAGCTTATTGTTGGTTAAATAAAAATCCAAAATTCCTTCAACAGATTTAAGTGCATGCACTAATGCTAAACAGTCGAGAGGTGACAGGTTACACCCATTAAAATCAAGCGCATTACAACCAATTTTCGCCAGTTTCTTTTGAACTTCTCGATCAGAGGCTTTGTTCTCATACATGCAATTGAATAGCGTCACCACTAATAACCTGTCTTCACGAGCTGGCCAACAGGTCAGTGTTTCAGTTCGTTCCTCTGAATCTTCATTCATCTTGATTTTAACTATTATAGTATCCGTTTTTGAGGGAAGAAGGTCGCTGAAAATATCTGTTGATTGTCCTTCTTTTTCAGCCAGCAGTCCAGCCACAAACTGCATCACAACCTTCCACGCGCCATCCTTGATGTGATCGGAAACAAAACCCCGCAGTTGTTCGGAACTCAACGTGTCCACCAAATACTTCGCCGCCAAGAACTCCTGTAAGGTCAGGTGTAAAAAGCAATATTGCGCTCTTCCCTCTGCTAAAGGACGGTCTCTAAAATCAGGTAAACGGTGAAACAGGCCATTACTCTCTAGGTCGTTAACTTCGTGTGATTCAAAAATTAGTCTTCCGTTTTTAATTCCGTCAAAAGCAATTTTTCCCAGTCGTGTGAACACATTTTGCACAGAGGAAGGCAGTTCCTTAAACGGCTTAAGAAAATACTGTTGACCTTCAGTTTTATTGTGGCGATATTGATCATCATCGTAGCTAAAGTAAAACATCCTTACTGCAATTGAGTATATTTCTGTCAGTCTCGTCGGGAGGCTGGTAAAGCCAGTGTTACCAAGCAACTCTAACAAGCAACTACAAATGATAAAGCAATTAACAGGAACGTAGCAGAAGGCTACAAGGTTTAAGTTACTGCTGATGTGTTGCTTTATGGTTTCCGCTTTGTCCGCCTCCTTTGTAAACTTCTCTACATAATTATTTACTTGCTCAGTTGAGAATCCCAGAATTTCAACTGTTTTGTCGAAGTCAAGACTTCTCATACATGACACGGCATTGGGTCTTGTAGTCGTTAGGATTGTCGCACCGGTAAGAATTTTTCCCTCTACTATTTTCTTCATAAGGAAATAAACAGGCATCGTTTCCTCTTCACTGTTTCTGTACGGAATGTCATCTTCATTTATTTTAGTCCTACCAGTATATTCGTCAAATCCATCAAAAATCAACAGTACTCGCTCTGGGTTGTGGCGGATGTAGTTCCAGAGCTCTTCGGAAAGAGCGGTTGAATACTCTGAGTGATCCAGAATCTCGCGAAGATTTAGTTCTTGTTTTCTAGAGTTAAACATTCTCAGCTTAACGAGAAAGGCAACTTTAAAATCGACTTGCGAGTTTTGTGTTTCGTTGAGAAGGTTATCGGACGCCCAGTTGCGAAGAATCTTTGTGCTAAACATGGTTTTTCCAATTCCAGGACGACCGACAACAAGAATCTTCTGCTCTTTAGCATTAAAAATATCTCCTGGCAGTGTTGGTCGTAAACTTTCATTGGCTTTGTGGTACTCGTTTAGCTGTTTCACTCTGTCTCCTGAAAAGTCATACTTCGCTCTCCCTTCATAAACAATCAAATTGGTGAAGATTTCGTCAAGTTTTAGATCTCTTCTAGGTCCTTCGCCTGGATTATGAAAAGGTGATTTGAGGTCTCTGTAAGGTTTGTCAGTGACATCTCGGACATGTTTCTTCATACGTTCGATGAAAGGAGCGACTGAGGTTTCATCATAGTGGGTGATTAACTCTTGTGGTTGCGGTCCTGAAGAAAAAACACTCATTAGTTTGATAACAAAATTGATATTTTATTAATTCACTGATGACGAATAAAACGATAATAATAATAATAATATTTTCACCACTGTCTAAAATATGCATGTCAAATGTCAAAATATCACTACCGTAAATCCTCCTTCTTTGAGATGTGGTGGGAGGGCTCAATTAATTTAGAAAAGACGATGGTATCAGCTCTCCATAGAGAACTACAAAACCAAGTGGAAAAGCTCAAGTACAAGAAGGTTTAAGGTCATGCACGGAGGATCAGAATCAAATCCAAACTTCCAGTTGGTATGAAACCATCCATCCTTATTAGTAAAGAATAATTAGGGGAGGGAAGGGAGGATTATAAGACGGAGGGGGGTTATTTGAGAAGAGGGGGGCTTAATAGAGGATTTACGGTATAATCCGGTCTATCATGATAGCTTCTAAATATTGCAAATTATCTCAAACCGTACTGGTCCCTTTTTAATAAGATGCACACTTCTAATGCTTCTTGTTATTTTACAGAAATGTATCACATTCACTATACTACTTGAATCTCAACTTAAACAACTTGAACAAGTGGTGAGTGTTGGACAGCTGAATTTGGGATGGCATACACCACATAAGCTACATGTACCATGTAGCTTATCTGTGACTGTACTATGGAACGAATCCAACAATAGATTCAATACATCAGATGCCAAGATGTGGCAGCACTTTATGATAGCATGATTACCTTGATAATGAGGCCATGAATGGAAAACACGGGGTTCATTCAACATGTGTGCAACAAGAGATGCTGCCATCACACTGGCACAGGAAGACCAACTCTCTGAAGCTAAATGAGAACCATCTGCATAGTCAGCTATTCCTTTCACAATTAACCACTCAATTTGACAATCAAATGCTGCTGTAAATACGCCTGTAGAACAACAAAACAAACAGTACATGAGTTTTGAGAAACGTCCTGTTTCATTTAAGTGTCTTCATCAGCAAAATAAGAAACTTGACCAGACAGTGGGAGATGTTGGCAGCCATTTTTGTATAAGTTTCATAATAGTGTAATTTAAATTTATCAACAAAGATGAGTGTGGGTGGAGGTGCTTGCAAGGCTTGTGGAGCCAGGAAACTGCAGTCGAGTGCAGCTGCTCATAACCATGACAACCCTTCGAGTGGCAATAATTCAGGCACCATCTCACAGCTAACCAGTGGAGCTTTTATTAAGTGGCCACCTTAGTAATACAGTCACCTTGTTATTTTTGGCCTGGCAAAATGGCCATACATTTTCTAATGAAAAAACCTTGTTAACACAGTCACCCATTGATGTGGCCAATTGCCATATTTTAAAATCCCAAACAGTAGCATCTTTTACAATAAAATATTTCACCCCACTAAAACCGCCACTTGTCAGAAATTTTGAAAACTGATTAATGCCTGTAACATGTCAATTTCATTGACCTAGTAATTAAGCTGAGCTTGTTTTTCTACTATTTTTAAAGTATAGTCACTTACAATGTATTTTGTGGTGGTCTAATAGCCGATTTTTAAAAACTGTTTTATGTCCTAAAGGAGTTTCAAGTAGTTTTTACAACTATGGTGTGTGATATCTACATTCCTGTTATTTACTTAAGAGAACAGAGTTGTACAAGAAGTGCGACAGCGATGTATGATGTGCTTGTCATTACAGTCCTCAAGTCATGAAGTTTGACCCTGCCCTTGTGATACAGCCACCCCGTTGACGTGGCCAAATTGTTTTGACCCATTAGTGACAGTGTTAACGGGGTTCCACTGTACTTACCAAAAGGAAGGCTGGGTAAGGAGCAGAACAATTGACCTCAACAGAGAAGCTGTGAATTCCCCAGGGTCCCTGAAGAGCCTTCTCATTTGAAAGACTAACTTAACTGGCCAGCCATGTCAAGAGTTAAACTTAGGCTAAATTTGATTTAGCCACATAATGTTTTAGGCAATATGACAATTATTTCTCTAGCAGAAACGAGAGGATTTCCGAATGAAACTAACAGACATGATTTAAAGTGCCAAACTACCGACCTTTTGACGCTTTAAAGGAAACACAATTTTTGCTTTCCCAGTACAAGTATGATGCATGCTACTGTGTTTCTTTCCACCTCCTCAAGCAAAACTTGACCTAACTGTGTGCACCTTTACTTATAAAGACTGGCTGCAAAAAAGCAGTTGGCCTACCTTCTCCTTCATTTTCCATTGCTATTGCCTGAGGATTGGTTTCAGCAAGTTGATCACGCCGCTGCCCAGAATTGACTTTTTCTGGTCCACTCAGAAACTCTGCAGCAGTATGAACTTGAACTTGCTGAGCATCAGACTGGTTCTTCAAAGGTGCTTGCCAGCCATCTTTACAGTTCTTAATGACATCCAGAAAACGTTTGCTCACACAATTTCTCAAGCCAGTTGACTGTTCTTGATTATTGATCACTACTTTGGGAGCATATGTTGCTATTTTGGCAGGCACAACAACATCTCCTAACTTGCATTTCTCAGGGTGAAGACTGCTACACGTACCAACAGATACAACTGCTTTAGGTCTGAGCACAGTGGTTGCCTTCATAACAGAGACAAGAGAGCCACCAGGACCACTACTATTTTCATAACATTTTAATAATGCGACTTTAACTTTCTCTTGCCTTCTATCCACATCAGAAAAGTAAACATATCCAAGACCATCAAAATAACATCTATAGGGGTTTTTTAGCTCACTGTAACAAGCTAAAAACTCACAATCCTTTACTGTCAGTAACAACACATCAACAGGGAGATCAGCTTCATTTGAAGGTTTGGTTATTGTGCTAATGTCACGCGAAGATGGAAGAACTTTATTAAGCTCAGGAGGGCCTGTAATTGGCTTCTTTGCATTGCTTGCAGCATTGTTTACATAAGAAGGGAGACCGCTGGTAAGCTGTGGTACAGAAGCATCACTTCCATCTGATCTTCCAGTTGTATCCTCCGGAAAATCAGTAGTAAGCTGGGGTGTATTGCCATCACTGTCCTCTGATCTGCTTGTTGAATCTTCTGAAATTCTTATTATCTTAGATCCTAATGAGTGCATGAAAAAGAAATAATTAAAATTAATGATAATAAAAATTGAAATCAATAAAATGATATATAATATTTACAACATTATGGAGTGCTAATGGCAGGTTGCAAAGACAGTTGAGTTGATCTATATCAGAGATTTTGAAGCTGTTCAAAAAACTTGCAGTCATGTAATACACTCCTGCTTGTTTTTTTTAAACAGTACATAAAATTTAAATGTTAAAAATCCCAAAGTTTCAGTAAAACTTGGCCTTCATTGTACAAATTGGCAAAACCACAGTATTTTTTAATCATCAGAGGTGGAATTTATGGCATGAGTATTTGAATATTTGAATATTTCTGTGCTAACTGAAAGTTCAGGACAGCTTTCAGTCTGTCATCTTTTAAGGGTTATTTTGGTAGTTTCTGATTGAGGGTGTAACATTTGGTACCGGTTTTGTTAAAAAATATATGTGGCCCAAATCAGAGATACAGATCGAAGAGAAAAGCAGCAAGTACTAATGCAACAGCATCAATTAATTTGAATGTAGTGAAAGATTACAAGTTGAAGGAAGATGGGCTTCACATTTTTCAGCCTCACAGTAAAATGAGTAAAAAGAAACTCAGCCAGATTTAGCCAAAAGGAGCCTCTGTTAAAAGGCAGTTAACAGTTAACCTGACCACGTCCCAGCACGTATTAACCAAATGACAAGTTGTTCCCCCTTCTAAGATCTGAGTAGTTCTATAATCTTTCTGCCTCCATGTAAATAGCCCCTAACAAAAGGTTCTCTTAAGGTTTGGTCCACATGCAAAAGTTTTTTTTGAAGGACTACACTTCACTTGCTTAAAAATCAGTGGGTTCTTAAAAATGACTGGGTTCTTTTGTGAGGAGGGATGGGTTCAGCCAAATGTTTTCACTAGTGTCCAACATCACAGCAATTATGACCAAGGTTGCAATAGCCTTACATTGTACAGTAGTGAGTGATCACATTTTCACTTTTATTTTCATGTAAAGGAGGGCTTATTTTCTTACCATAGAAATTAACTTCTTCATCTGAGTCTTCAGTCACATCCCTCCATCTCTTTGTTGCTTGCATGACAGTAAGTTGAAATGGCTTCACACAAACTGGAAAATTAAATTAATTTTTAAATATTTATTAGCAAAAAAAAAGAAAAATCCAAAGCAACTACGATAAGTAACACAGTTGTCATGACCACAAAAAAAATAGTTTGTCAATGGCTTCAAGTGTAAAATCTGGCTTCAGTAGGAGCATTAACCATCCACAAATATGCTTGTGAATTTAACTTTTAAGGAAGTTTTTGATCGCAGATCAGGATTCAGACTGAATTTTACAGCAAGTACTACAGGAAACACCCTAGTGTCTTGGCAGGTTTTGGGCTTTAAATAAGCACATATGGAATTTTAACTTTTATTTTTTTGGTCAAAATAATTCAAACATAAGAATTAAGTTGATAAATTTGCAGCTGATGCTTCATCAAGTCTAAACCACTGAGTCATACATTAAATTATATGTGTGGTTTTTCCTAAAGAAACGTAAAATTTGATTGGATGATCATGTTATGCGACAGATTTGAGCTCAGATTTGCGAATAGCCCATGGATGTTCGATATACTAAAATGACTTCAAGCAGCCTGCATCATAGCCTCCCACGCAGACGTTTTTAGGGGAGCTCGTATTTCTTCCCTCCCCACAAACGCCTGCTCAACAGAGGACAACATTCCTTTCCCACGCTTAGCCAATCACGTTGTACTTTCCAAATTCTGGAAAGTTGACCTTGACCGCAGGTTAACCCGATAATCACTCGGTCTGCATGAAACTTTAAGAAACCTTCATGACCTCTAATAAATGTTAGTCTCAGAGAGGCAAAAGTAACATTTACTCAGTCAGATTTTAGAATTCTCTGTGCACTGCATAACCTTAGCGAACGAAAGAAAAGAAGGAAAAAGGTAACTCTAGGGTCACGTTCTGGGTCACGTTTTTTCACTATCACGAGCTTATGAGTCATGTTTAGCCTGTCAACACTTTATTTAAAAACCGTTGATTGGTCACTTACCACGCGAATGCAACAATGGGAAAGGAATGTTGTCCTCTGTTGAGCAGGCGTTTGTGGGGAGGGAAGAAATACGAGCTCCCCTAAAAACGCCTGCGTGGGAGGCTACCTGCATCATAGACCTAATTTAACTTCAGTTAGTAATGTCTGTGAAGCAGCGCCAATATCCTTATTCTGGCTCCCAAGGGACTCAACGAATTACCAGAAGAGCGTTTTCGAAATTCCTTTCATCTTATTTATTTGGCATTAATCAACAATGGCATTTTTAACAAGCCAATCATGGCTCGTACTCAAATCCTGGTACGTACACAGCTGGAGGTCAGGAACAAGGAATTCAGCGCTGTTTCACAGATGGACTTAACCAGAGTTTAGTTTTGTCTGTGGCGCAGGCTAGACTTCAAGGCGTTTGGGTCAAAATTGCATCACCACTCTATTTATTTACACAATAAACTACTGTTATTCTTCACAGCGATCAGTTATATAAATTATTCAGAAATAACAACTGTCAACTCTCCTGGATAATCCGGGAGACTCCAGTTTTTGGACCGTATCTCCCGGTCTTCACGTTTGAGGATGAAATCTCCTGGATAATCACCAAAGTTTGCCATTTCAGTAGACTCCAAGAAAACAAGAAAATTTCAACTATTTTGCTTTGTTTGAGCTATTTTACTGTTAACCTTGAACATTTCCTCATAAACTCTGGTATGCCATTGTAATTTTAGTATATAATGTGAATGGTGGCAAAAGCACAAAAAGCAAGTCAAATTGTGTACGATAAACGTAAATCAAGAAAAAGTATACTCCCTACACAGACCAGCAGAAATGGACAGAGGAATGCAACATGGAAGGTGACAAGTGCATTAAATGGTATAAGGCCTATCAATCAGCTCTAAAATGTACTAAAAGGACAAGACTGGTAGAATTTCAATTCAAATTTCTGCACAGACAAATATCGACCAATGACTTTTTAACAAAATTGGAATAAAAGACAATACAGACTGCTCCTTTTGTAACAAAGAACTAGAAAAACTGACCCATCTTTTTTGGTCTTGTTCCAAAGTAACCACCTTTTGGAATTCCTTAATCCAACAACTTACTTTACCACAAATTAACCCACAAAATTACAAAATAAATATTTCTACAGGCTTTGCTTTGACACCAGACACCTCTATAAAAGCCATAATCAAATAATTTCTGTCTATCATTAGCCAGACATTACTTTTGGATATGTAAAAATAAGAAAGCCCCTCCCTTCATACAAGACTTTCTACATTATCTTAAATCAACTTTTTTACTAGAGCTAAAACCTGGTGATGGCCCCAGTAAAAAGTGGGAGACTTAATTTTGAAAAATCTTAGTTTGTTGATGTTGTTTGATTCGCTCTAGTCGGTCCCCTGCATAAAATGCTTAAAGCTAATCCTTCACTGCATGCCTACTTAAACAAGCTTAACCGTCTTGATAATTTATCTGTATTGCATAGTATCATAGTAATGCTTAGTGTTAAATTGTAAGCTAGTTAGCCAGTTATTGTTAGTGTAATCTTGTAAGTTTAGTTATTGCTAGTGTCAACTTGTAAGTTAGTGATTGTTAGTGTTAACTTGTAAACTGGTAGTTACTGTTAGCCAAGTTGTAACCATTTAGGGTATTAGGGTATTGCATGTAATCTGCTGTTTGTTGGTAAAAATATATTAAATAATAAGTAAAAGAAAAAAAGTTTTCTTAAAAAACATAAATAAATAAAAAATAAAAAAAATTATGTGATTGGTGAGAAGTAAACCAATCAAGTCAAATGTTACGATGCCAACAACATCTTTTTCATGCATTTTGTGTCATCATGAATTCGTGATGATCAGGCATTTTTTTCACAAATGACATCATGAGCGTCATGACGTTATCTTTCATCCCCTTCCTTATCAATTTTCAATATTTGAGGATGGGGGGGGTTGACAGCCCTGAGCAGGGCTCGAAAAAAGTCCCATCTGCCCGTCCGGGACAAGCAGATTTTCTTCCGGGGCAAGTAACTTTTTAATTCACTTGTCCAATGGGCAAGGGTCTAAGAAAGTCATCTTCTAACTAAATGATTAACTAAAACAAGCCAGAAGAGGCCCCGGACAAGCCAAAGGACAAGCGGCAACTCAAGTTTTTTACAAGCCCTGGGATGTATTTGACAATTTAGCTGAACAATAAAAAACTGCTGATCAAATAGCCTTAATGTTCATGCACAAGTTAGAGTTGTAAACACATTTGCTTCAACAATTAACACTGCCCTTTTTTTCTTTGTTTTTTTTTTAATGCCTTGCCAATTTTCACATACTGTAGAGTTTCACTTAAAGCCCTGGTTAACTTTACTGTTAACATTAATTCTCTGTGTGAATCATAATTCTCTAAAAGAGTTTTAAGTCACTGAATCTATCAAATCGATACATGGCTCCTGCAGTCTCCTGCTAAAATCAAGTGACATGTCTACAGCCTTATACCCACTCCAAATTCTTCACTTGAATTCACATTCAATTTGTGTTTCACGGTGCATTCCATGCTTTCTGCATAATTTTAATGCAATGCTTTATATACAATAAGGGCTTAAACTTGTTTTAATTGATAAACATCATGCAAGGGAAAGGGGGGTCTTTTATAGAGATATGTTACAGATATTTGTCTGCCCAAAAACGAGTTGCATCAGAGCAAAAATAAGTTTGAATGAACAACTTGACCAGCACCAGCTGGGAAATTATTTCAAGCCCTGGAGAAGCTAGTCTTCTTTGCACGTAACTACTTGGGCCAATCACTTTGCTCCTTTTATTTGACCAGATGATGGTGTCTTTGGCAGATCTCAATTTTTGTAGCCTGGATCGCATTAGAAATTGGCAATTGCAGAGTTAACCGAAAGGAAAAAATGATTAATTTTGCCTACTGGCTTTGGAAAATCTATAATTTTTCAAGCATCAAAGACTGTAACTGACGG